AGAGTAAGGAATATTGTAAGAGGTCATAAAAACCTAAATAATATTTAATTCTATGTGATTTTCCTAAATTAATGCAAATTATGATATCTCTTTCAAATAAAATGTTTGAATTATTTTTCTCAATCTATATAGTAGCAATTTGATCAATAAATGAACGATTATAAGCTCAATGATCTAAATTAACATTTCTACAATACAACTTTCAAAATCCTTAAAAGAAGATATATCTTTTAATCTTTGTAAGACTTAGGCATAAGGATTTTGTTTTAAAATTATCATTAGTATCTCAAATTATTTTTGCACTTAAATTTTTATTATGTTGTGTTCTTATTTTATTTTGAAATTTATTACTAATGTCATAAAAGTATAGTTAAAATAACATAAATTAATAAAACTCAAACTTGAAACAACTCAAAACTCAAATTGAGTATAAATAATTTTTTTACTCATTTTAAATTTTAATGTAATTAAAAATAAAACAATACACAAAAATATAAAAATGAACTAATTTGATTCGATTTTAATTGCTTTTAGAAAGTCAACAACTTAGTAATTATTTAAAATTTTCCATAATTGAAGATAACCAAAATTCGAATTAAAATAGTAACCCAACTAGAATTTAATTTTTTTTATTTGTCTTCTGTAATAATTTAAAAGTTCATTATTTAAACTTTTTTCTTAATCTTCAATATCTTATTTGTATCGGCATTGTGGTTGAATTAGTTAATTTTAAGAATATTTCTAAAGTAAAATTGTAATTATTAGTAATTAAATATACCTCTTTTTTATTTGGATTTAGGATAATTTGAATCAAACTTTTTAAACAAAAAGAAGTATGCACCGATTATTGAGTCAAATTTACTTAGATGCATAAGTAAATAATTGAGTACACTATGAATATAAGTAGATTATAAATTTTGACTCAATTTAATTGGTCATTGATCATAAGTCTAAACTCCAACTCAAAATTATAAAAAGCCAAAATTCAAAATAATTGAAATACTACATATACAATTAAATAAAGATTTATAAAATGAATTTGGTAATTAATCTCGTAAATCACTTTTAAATTTAGTTAAATTATAATTTATATTAATATTTTTATATTAAATGTAATAGCGATAATAATTTGATAAATTACAATTCTTTTAAACAAATATTGCCTAATATGATAACCTTAAAATTTTTGATGCAATAGTAAACATTCTTCATCTGATATAAAGGAGAAAATAAAGGAGTATACAATGTTTCTCTTAATAAAAGAATTTCATATTAATCCTAAAAAAGTTTAAAATCAATATATTTGTATATTTTTTATTGAAACATCATACAGTACTAAAATTTTTTTGTCATATGAATAACCAATCAATCTTTTATCTCATTTTTCTACTTAGAATAATCTTTCGTTAATACTTCCATCAATTGAATGTAATTACATGTTCCACTAATTGAAAGCTTAATTTTTTTATTTGAATAATTTTATTATACGTGAATTTTTATTATATAAAAATATTAAAAAACATAATTTTAAAACTTAAAATAAAAGAAAATAAATTCTTAATCCTGGTACTTATTATGTTTTCTTAAGAATATGAAATACCTATACAATTTATAATGATTTCATTTTCAATATTAACAATATAAATTTTTATGAATGAATGTAATTTTTGTATAAACACATTCAAAAGATAATTATAATGAATTTCATCATGCCTTAAAAAAATAATAAAAAATATTTAATTTATTTCACTTGATAATTCTCTACTTAAAATAATTCACGTTAGGTCATTCAATCACATAGATGACCAAAAAAATAAATAATTTAATACAATTGAGAAAGATTAAATAATATTGAGATATAAATTAATTATATATATGCACATTAAGGTAAAAGTTAAAAAAATTAAATCAATTATTGTTTTAATCAAGGTGAACAATACTTATGGTAATTTGATGGGACTCAATCCTAAACTATTGGTAATTCAATCACTTCCTGAAATATTTAATTCTATAGGTGAAAAATCCAATTAAAGTGTTCAATGAATCATATAGTGTTAATTATTGATGAATGGTGTATAATTAATTCGCATTGGATATGATATTAGTTTTTGTTTATGGGAAAAACGATTATAAAATTTTAGAAAAAATAAATATAAAAGAGAAATTAATTATAAATGTTAGACTAAATTGTAAAAATGATATGTTAAAGAATTATTTTAAAAAACTAAAAAGACTTAATTATGTTATCAATAATCAAATTAAATTATTAATTCATAAAACATATAAATAATAAAAGTATTAGCATAAATATATAGTTAACAAATCTATTAAAATAAAAAATTGAAAGACAAAATATAGAAAAAAATAATTATGCTTATGACTTAATTATGATTATCTTTAATGAATTTATTTATCAACATAAACTACATACAATTATTTTTACAACAACTAAAGAAACAAATTCCATATAATTGTTCTATTCCTATGCACACTAAACTTTAATCTCCTATTTGTGTTTTTATTTGATGTGAAAAATCATTGTAATTATAAAAAAAGTCAAATAATAAAAAAATCATTTAAATTAAAATTTATAAAAACTAATTAATAATATTTTAATCAATCACTTTTAAATATTTTGAATTAAAATTTTAAAATTTTAAATTAATTTCACATAAACTCTATTTTTAATTTTAGTTGATTTAAATTAAATTTAAATTAATTAATAAAAGTTATATATTTAAAGATAAATTTATTAATTTTAAAATTTTAAAAAGTATTTAGATCGATCACTTTGAATACTGTTGGAGTTTATATTTTTATCTATAAATGATATGTAATTAAAAAGAAAAAAAAGACACATGAGAAGGGAGGGATGAGGACAGGCAGATTTTGAGAAACCTTAATTTCATCAAACCTAAAGGCTAAAAAAGGCCAAAACTATTACCATTTTGAGAAGCAAGCAAACAAAAATGGGTGCAGCCTGCCATGCCATCAAAAGAGAATTAAAGTTGATTAAAGCAATAGACGACGAATGAATTAAAATTAGTACTTGGCTTGGCATGAGAGCACTCACGCTATTGTCGTCCTTGTTCTTTCTTGCCATTAGTATAGTTGTCACCTCTTTCCTCTCACAATTTTAATTCTTGCCAGACGAAGTCAAAACAGACATCTTAAGGTCACCTAAATCGGTGGAAATTTGATAAAGCACCTACCATTTTAACACATCTAACCTACTCTTTAATATAAAAATGTTGGCCTGCAAATATATAAAAACATATATATATATATATATTTTCAAGCCAAATAGACTTTATTAATATCCCAAAAGGATAGAACTAGTAGCATGACTGGTCATAACAAGAGAAGGAGAAAAGGAAATGACTCAAATTCAGTTTGGTCTTGAAATTTAAAACACATGGAAACGAAAGCTATTCTTAAAATTTACTCTTTTTTCTTTATTATAATTTAAACTATTTGGTGTGCTCAATGCCATAGAAATAAAACCAAGAATGCATAGTCGATACATTTTGTTAATGTAGCTAGCATATGATCAAGCGCAACTTGGGATTATCTAAGATGTCTATCAACGAAAGATTTTTTTTTTGAGAAATTAATAATTTTTTATAAAAAAATTATAATTTAAAATAAATGATTATAAATATTAAAATTTAAATCTTTTAAATATTTTTTAATAAATAATTAACAGAGTTGTTAGTATCCGGATTTTCTTTATAATTGAAGTATTTAAAGTTACCAAAGCAAAACCGTGATCATGTGCTCTATTCATGGGACGCAGTCAGAACTTTTCCAAGCAAAAACAAATGTTTATCAACTGAAACCTAAAAGGATCATGATAGTAAATGATGCTGATTGTGATTACAAAAAGGTAATGTGTTTCCCTTTAATTTTGGTAGAAAAAGGTTATACTCTTTTTTTGAAAGAGAAAAGATTATACTTGAGGACAAGTGGAAAGTACAAAAATACACTGTTTTTGCCATTATTTTTTCTGCAGGAAGGTTCCTGCATCTTTCCTGATCACCAGTGTGATAAACAAAGCTTCATAATAGCATCATAATTATTTCAACATTTTAAATGCAGCAGTTATGATTAATTTAATGGCCATTTTCTTGTTCTGTTAACCATTGGACTGATGGACACATCTAATTCAATATAGCAGTAGTGTGGTGTTGATTAGTAAAACAATGGAAACTGGAAAGGGCCTCTACTTATAATTAAAGGCTCATTTACAGTTCCCCAAAAGGCTATAAAATACATTAAAAGTTAAATCACATGTTCGATGTTTATTGGAGGATGCTTGAATTTTGATTTATTGTTATAGTATCTTAATTTTATATCTGATATATGAACTGTTTATATTTATTAATTTTTTATGAAGTTACCATCCCTTGATATAAAAGCTTCTTAATGCTTAACGAATGAAAGATGTCCTTTTTTTCATTTTGGAAATGTTAATTCTTTGTACTTACCTTTGGTTTTTTTTTTTTTTAGTCAAGGAATGGGGATTCAAAGGAATCTTTCTCAAAGTTTCCTAGGGTAACTTATTTGACACACAAAAGATTAGTAGTTGGCAAATCAAAATGGAGAATTATGCTTTAATTTGAATAGGTTTATCATTGATGAATTAAGAAGTATATATATATATATATATATATATACTAAAAAAATTTAGAATAAATAAATTATTTAATTTTTTAAATCAAAATAAAATATATTATATTCGATAATTTAAGATATATAATTACAAATCGTATATTTAAAATAATTTTAACAAATGATAATGGTAGAAATTAAATTCAAAATTTTTTTTTTGATAAAGATGAATATTAATAAATTGAGTGAGTCATTTATTAATAGAAATATATATATATATATATATAATATTAAAGACATGAGTAAAAATGCATGCAGAGGGAGAGAGATGACAAATGGAAGACTGTATTAAGGAAAAATTAGATGAAAGCGACAAGAGAGACCCGAAAGTTGGGAGACAAAAAATAGATAAAAAAATTGTTAAAAATTAACTACTGTCTGCTACATTTTCTTCCACTATCCCAGCCGGCTACCAGAAAAGCTCTCCCAGCAAACATCTCAGACTTTTCTCTCTCAGAACATCTTCATACAACCCACTCACCGAATGCCTATGTCCTTTATTTGTCTTTTCTCTAACTATTTCTCTTCAGCTTTTCCTCCCTATAATACCCCCCCTCTTTCTGTTCCCACACCTTAATCTGAATCAAATTAAGCATATTAATTATAATTTAATTTTTTTGGGTGTCTTGGTGATTTCTAATGGAAGCCAATCAGGTTGAAGACTCGAAGAGCTTGAGTGAAGAGAGTGATGGATCAGAGCAAAGCAACCATGATATGGGCACTGGCCGGTCCTACGAGTGTGTGTTTTGCAAGAGAGGGTTCGCCACAGCACAAGCCTTAGGAGGGCACATGAACATCCACAGGAAAGATAGAGCCAAAAGCAGGCCTAGTTCAGTTCCTATAGTTTCAGGCAAAGTTGATGATCATGAGAATTACGCAAGCCTTAGGCTCTATTCCTATCCGCCAATCCAAAGCTTTCAGCCACATTACTCCATAGCTCCTGAGGTACATCTTAGTTATCAGGCTTTTTTCCCAGCTTCAGCAGGTTGGGGTTTTAGACCCCCACACACCCACCATGGCGATGAATTGTTTGTAGACAGTTCACGTCATCTGAATCCGTTTGGGGAGGAGGATTGGCGTAGGAGTCTCAGCTTGCAAATCGGTCCATCCCATGTAGATGATCATGAAAACAAGGAGACAGATGCAAGTTGTCAAGAAGATGAATTAGACTTGGAGCTTCGATTAGGTCATGATCCATAGTAGTATATATATCAGACACTATAAATCAAGAACTTAATTTCTCTATATATATATGCATGTACAGTGGTTGTAGATATTCTTTATGAAGTTATGATGTGGAAAAAGTGAATGAGATACTCAAGTACTAATCCTTTCATCATCCACATCAATAAATCTATTTGGGCCTATTTTCATATCGATTATAACTGAGAAGACACGAAATGAGAAGAATAATAAACAAGAGGAGATATATTGGAGGTTTTTTCATGCCTAATACTTCGAAGAGGGAGGCCAAGATGGATTCTGTAAGATGTTCTTCGTTTTACTCTTTTGCACAATCTTGTTTTCTCCTACTTGAGTACTTGTATGAAAGTTTTTCTTTTATTTCATGTTTTATTGAAGTTGAAAACTTGAAATATTCTCTTCTGATTTAATAAACTGGAAACCCTAATTGCTTTGAAGAAGAATGAAAAAGAAAAACACTGGACAAAGAGATCAAGTCTAACACTTTTTTTTATGCTTTGCCCCATAAATCATTGATGTAAATTTGGTTGAACATAACAAAAAACTCATGGTTCAAAGTTCAAACAAGTTTTATTAATATCAAATTGAAATGTACATGAATGTATTCCTTAATTGGAAGCAAATTTTGGTGAAAACAATTGGAATAATATTTGTTACTAAATACAGTTCCTGTTAGAACAATTGGCAGTAGTGACTAGTGAGATCATTTCTGTCAGGATGGTTCTCAATTACATTAGACTATATCCTTTGTGTGTGCATTTAGATCTTCTTAATTTGGATGCATTAAGCTTCTTTCTGGTTCAATGAATGAAAACCTAGGTAGGTAGTTGAGCTGCAGGACCCATCTGGAAACATGCCTTTCATTTCAAAATCTTTCAAAATATACTACACTATTTGCCTTCTTTGTTCATCCAAACGAAAAATAAACTGTTGCCTTGTCTTGATCGAAGTAGACCATATATACATGAATACATAAAGAGCTACAAAAAACCTTCAAGCATATATCTTTTAACATCGATTTACTTAATTTTATGAAGATCAGATGGTCGTATAGTTATCACTTATCATTACTTGTTTTCTGCAGTGGAATATTTCCATTTTACATCAATGGAAATGATTTGATGTTACCTAGTGATGATCAGTAATCACTGATCCTTCGTTGTTGTTAAACTTCAATCAAGAGTCGTTGTTTAGTTTTTAATACTATATATCCTGCATCCATGATTGATTTAAGATATTCAATTCTTTCATGTTTCAGCTTTCAATAATAGCATATTTTCATGGAGCTAAGGTTCAAATATGGAAGATATACAGCATATCTTGTTTCCACTTAAGCCATAGTATTTCATAGCCAAGTATCTTTCCAGCAAATTAAGTAATGGGAAAACCTTTCCTTCATTCACATGAATCCAATTTTCAAAATCCATCTGTTCTTTTTCTCTCAAGAATGTTTTTGCAATTTGATAGATGCAAATTGGATTAGTTAAGTACTTCGCTCTCGGATAGATCATCAGATATGGTATATTACATCTAGTTAATTACCTCTACGTTAACTTGCTTTTAGTTTGCATTTTGGATGCTTTTGCCATGAGACTTAGTATTTTCTTGTACTTTGCTCTGAACTTATAAACGAATGAAACAAATTAACAACATCGGAGGCATGCATTCTGCTCTCGATTACAAAATATGTGGGGTTGAAAACTTGAAATGGTCATCAGCCTGCTGTTGATCAGCAATCCCCTCCACCTTCATTAGTTATAATCTGCTGTCCTCTTATCTTATCTTGATAAAAAAATTTTGTTAATTTTTACACGTATCACGTACAAAGACTATTGAGAAAATATATGTATATATATATATATATATATATATGTTGAAATCTGCTATAATCAGTAGCAATATTAATCAAATTTCAGTGGGGTACTAAATCATATCCAGAGAATAAAGCAGATCCTAAAGCAAAGACTTTTGCTTGTGGTTGGCTTGGTTACTCCCATCCTGTCGTGAAATAAGGCTTTCACGACAAATGTTCCTAGACGAATTCTTTTAGACACTGCTTTCCCTTCATAAGTTGTCATATTTGAAACAAAAATCACCATTCTTGTCAGCTTATGAAATGCAGGAGATCAGTAGGCTATACAACAAGAATGTCTTGTTAGTTTATTTGGTTCTAAAAACGACTTCATAAAAAAAAAAGTTGTGTTTCAAATTCAATCATGGATGACACATCTGTCTGCATTATTATTATTATTTGCGCTGTGAAATTACCGAAAGCATGAAATGATTCTTGAAGCTATGTGTGATAGAACAACACCATAAGCTGACAGCTGCAAGTCATTTCCATTTTTAAAGGTAACTTTATATCATCAGTGCAGATACTGTATATGCATGACATAAAGCTACAAAAACTTAAAGCGGATTTGGTTTTCATATAGTGAATCACTGGTGAAAAGTGAAGAGATCAAGCCTCCAGAGGCTGTAGTTGTTGTTTTTGGTAAGTTTATATGCTATTTTTGAGCCCCAATGAGAAAAATACCATGCATTTTTACCCTCATGAAGGCCCCATTTATATCAGAATAGTTTAGCAGCAAAATCTGCAGAAACCAATGCCACAATTCCAAAAGTTGAAACCAAAATTGGCAGTATTTATGCATTTCTAATCAAAAGATCAAAATTGTAATGCAAAATATCTTCTATGATTTCTTTGTCTGTTAGAGTTTGATATGTCATATTGTCACTTATATCAATACATATGCGTATATTAATTGGTAGTTATATCTTTCAAATGAATAGAGTTTAAGTTAGATAAAAAAATGCTAATTATGTTTAGATATGGAGAAAGTAAGATGGTTTTGGCACAGGGAAGAGACTATACCTTTAGGAGCAATTACTGAAGCGAAGGCAGGAAGAAGCTTTTTTGACTAACCCCTGCAGTACTATTCACAACTGAACAAACATATGTCAAGGCTTGGCTTTGAAATTAATTTTCAGCCTGACCAGGGCCGGCTTTTCCTTATAAGTTACATCCAAGTTATAATTTCTGGAGCTATATGCATGCATGCAGCAGACTCGATTACCTAGCTATAGCTCTAGCTGGCTGTATCAAACCCCAGATTTTGTTTGTTTATGATATTGAATAATTGGGGAATTTAATTTGACAATGCATGACTAAAATTAGCAAATAGAAATTTCTGGGATGGTCTAGTACTCACGTAAAACATAAACAGGGTAGGTGCTTAACAAGAAGTAACTACATTATTGCTTTTATGTTTTAAATTGTATAAACCATAAAAGGACCACTTCATGAAATCTGGTGTTTAATATATGAATATGATATATTAGCAAAGTACAATTTTGCTAGATATTTTTGGAATGTTCAGTAGCATGTATGCAGCTGGTATCTAGCAAAGGCCACATCAGCACAAATTTAGTATAAAAGGTAAGATCGGACCACAGGTAAATTATTATGAACCCTTCATTCTCTTTTTACCTTATTTAACCGACTCTCTCTCTCTCTACTTGTTGTTTCCCTTTAATTTCTTCATTCATCTCTCACACGACTGATTTGAGCGTTGGAACATACCTCAAATCCTACCTTCCATGTCTTCTGACCATTTTCTTTGTGACAAATCATTTATCAAATCAACCAACCAATCAACCTTCCAGCAGATAATCAATCTTCCTACCAAAATATAAATCAACAGTTTTATATATCGGTTTCCATAAGCTTTAATTAAGTACTAGCAGCCACCTTCTAAAAGTTGTGAAAGAGGATGCAACACTGAATTACTTGTTAACACAGGACACAAATTAATTCTTCAGCAGTCAAAGAAAGAGGACCTAGGAATTTGCTGTGTATGTGAACCATATCTGTATCACCAAAATAAAAGCACTTCAGTAATCTGTTTGACTAATATGACATCACCTAATCTGACACTAGTATGCATACCCAGGATGTAATTGTGACAAACAATCATCTTATTTTGTTAGTAAAGGAGGAGATCAATCACCTGAGGAAGCCCCACAGCAGCATTTATCTCATTTCTGCCCTCTGTGATGCTCATTCTTCACCTCCAAAACGAGTCGTCACAGTAACAAATGACGAGACGCCAAATGCAGCTGTCAGAAAGTGAACTTAATCCTGACAGTTGGATCAAGGAAACTTCCTAATCCTTTTATAAGTAGGATTAACAGTACTCTGATTCCTACTAGGATTAGGATTTTCAGACACCTGTAAATACACCTTTCCATGGCTTGAAACCAAAATAATCTTAAAAAAAAAAAAAATACAGAGTTGAGATAGTCTTTGATTACAATATTATCATCAGAAATTCAGAAAAATGGTCTACCATCCTTTTTTCCGTAAGGATAGCTTAATGAAGAACCAAGGTATTGTGGAAGAAAAAAAAAGAAAAAGGGAGGGAAGGATTTTCATGGAGATCATCCAGAAATCAATGCCATGTTTGATGCTGTTAAAAGGAGGAGAAAGATTGAGAAAAGTTCTGAAGAAATCATCCAGATTGTTGAGAAAGTAATGGCTGAGCTTGAGATTGTAGCTGAAGACGATGCACAACTCAATAGAACAGTCCAACCAGCCATCAACAAACTCCGGAAACTGCCTTTCCTTATCCAGGTTTTGTCCAAGAGAAGTTTTCAACTAGAGTTTTTGGATCGTGGAGTTCTGACACTCTTGAAGAATTGGCTAGAAGCCTTTCCTGATGGCAGCTTACCAAACGCAGCTATCCGTGGACAATTTTGAACATCTTGACAGATTTTCCAGTCGATTTAGAGCAACAAGATCGACGAAAGCAGTTTAAGAAAAGCGGTATTGTGAGGGTGATTATGTTTCTATCAAGATCTGAAGAGGAATCAACTTCCAACAAGAAGCTTGCTAAAATTTGACTGAAAAATGGAGCCGAGTCATATTTAACAAGAGTACAAATTTCGTTAACTTGAGAAACAAAGACGATGTTAACGTTCCCGTGATGAGAAAGTCT